GCATTCTTGAAATGGTACAGAGAAGCCGAGCTGATCCACGGCCGATGGGCAATGGCTGCAGTCGTGGGCATCTTCGTTGGCCAAGCCTGGAGTGGCATCCCCTGGTTTGAAGCTGGAGCTGCACCAGGCGCCGTTGCACCCTTCTCTTTCGGCTCACTCCTTGGCACCCAACTCCTACTCATGGGTTGGGTCGAGAGCAAAAGATGGGTAGACTTCTTTAACCCCGAATCGCAATCTGTTGAGTGGGCTACTCCATGGTCAAGAACTGCAGAAAACTTCGCCAACGCAACTGGCGAACAAGGATATCCCGGAGGCAAATTCTTCGATCCTTTGGGCGTTGCAGGTACACTCAAGAATGGAGTTTACATACCTGATGCGGAGAAGCTTGAGAGATTGAAACTTGCAGAAATTAAACATGCAAGACTTGCTATGTTGGCTATGCTTATATTTTACTTTGAAGCTGGCCAAGGGAAGACACCCCTTGGAGCTCTTGGACTGTAAGGATTGTTTCCACGTATCTTTGGCTTTGTAAAAATTAATGATTAAATGATAATATGAATCTAAAATAGTTGGCCACCGACCCTGTTGAAAAAAAGGCTGAAACAAACATGAAAATAGTTCTTTCTCGATGAATACTACGGACCCACCACCTCCAAATCGATAACCTTGATCAACAAGTACTTGAGCTAGATTAAAAAAAAAGAACCAACGGAACCAAATTAGGACTAGTCGGTTTAGTTTTGCTTAAATTTTAAATGGTTCTGATTCAATTCCAATTCTGATACCCGAAATCGAGAAAAAAGAATCAAGAATAAGTTCTAACATTGTTCGATTGCCATTATTTGGAATTTTCAGTGCTTTGAATAGCGAATTTTTAGAATATGCGAGTGTAAATTCTTGGATTTACATGCAGAATATTTTATTATATGAATGTTTGATTAAAAATGAGTATGAAAAAGAAAAAGAATTGAAATCAATGATGTCAAACAGGGGCTTAATTTGTTTTTTTGGTGAATGATTTTTTATTATACATACTTGATTTATCATTTTGATTTTGAATGTAAGGATTTAGTTTTTGTGATAGAAATTTGTACTATAAAACTCGCATTAATAATTTAAAAATTTTGATCGTGAAACCAAACCAAATCAGAACCATTTGATTTGATAAAAAAATAAATTTTTATTCGATTCCATTCCATTCTCATTTGAAGAATATCAACCTCCACCACTACTTTTTTCAAATCAGCAAGCATCAAATATGAATAAAATCCATTTGAATGGACAATTTGCACACCATAATTATTTTATCGATGATCAAAGTCAATATAAGAATATTTGCTGTTACTAAAGACTTGTTTGGTGGGAATTAAAATCAAATTTTTAGTAAATTTTGAAGAAAATTGATAAAATATGTGATTGAAAAATTGTGAGATCCATAATATATGCAATTAGAGTTAATTTTTAATTTTAACTTATGTTATGACCCGCCACCGAAACCCAAAGTCAATGTGCCACGTAGCAATCCAATTGGACAAAGAGTCAATAGGAAAGCCAACAAGGACCCAAGTCAATAGAAATACGAAACATCATAGCTTGGGTTGAAACGCTATCTCTAAGGAAACAAAGAAAGCAGCTGAAGCTCTCATTCGAAGAACCCACATAAAAATCCCCCGAGGCTCTCAAATCATCTGAGGCTCATGAAGTCGATATTGTCTTTTACAACACATTTAAAGCGCTTTCTGAAGTAACTGATGTAACACTTGTAATATAAATATCAGGTGTGTCAGCCTATTGTATTGGATGGCTAACCACTTATCAGTATATTAATTGTGCGAATAGATAGTGATGTGAAGTCTCAATTAAGGAAATGAGGTCACGTAGTTCTGATCCAACGAACACCACGTCGGTCAAGACAGTATAAATAGATTCTCTTTGTAGCTTAGAAAGGGTTGAATTTTTGAAAGTTGGAATCTTGTGTTCCTGATTATTTTTGATGATTAAAGTAAACAAACGACACTTACAAACATTTGAGCGATCGTCTTCCCTTCAAAAACATTTTCAATAGATACAAATTTTAACTTGTAATCTAACACTCATAAACACGCATGTCATCTATCTTTCTACATATTCCTATTTAGCAGATGGTTTATGTCGAATAGATTTGATCTTGATTGGTGATCGTTGTTAGCGCGATCATCGACGTTACACCCACCGAAATTTGAACACTTTTATCTCTCGCTTTAAGGCATCTCCCCCGTTCACGTTCGTTTTTTCTCACTGTCTTGCGCTGTAGAAACGCACTGGAACTTGCTTGACGTGACGAGAGTGAGCCCGACATCTGTTGGCTCATTTTTCGGGGTCAACAACTTAAATTAAAATTTAGATTTTAATCTGCTAACAATTTAAATCAACAAAATTTGTCAGAATGACAATTCGCGCACAAAAGCTTTAGGTTAAAGATGGTTGTGCCAAGAATAAAAATATAGGGACGATTTGTGCAAATATCCCTTTGTCGATAAATATCCGAAAAGTGCACTCTTCCCCCCCGTGACCTAGATTTTATCGAAGCGTTTTTTTCTTCAAAGCCACGCAGAAATTTGGGGAAAATTACGTCTAGGTTCGATTCTGCTTTTGCAGGTACAAAATAGTTCTAACCTTCAAGTATATTTGTGTAATCTGTTAGTATAATTCACATCTGCGATTGTTTTTGTCTGTAATTATTGTATTGCTGGTTATGTAGGAGGTTATGTTATACATAGTATCACTGTGAAAGAATTACATCTGCAAATTGTAAGCATTAACACATGTAAAATTTGTACATACCCATGTATTAGTTACTGAATAGATGTTGAATACCTGGTGTAGTTAGAATTGTTGGTGTATAAAGTATAATAATTTACATACTGCTTTGTTATGGTACTTGGTATTGAATAGAGATGTTCACGTCAAGAAAATCTGAATTTTGTCAAGAAGACAAGGTTTCTCATGGCATGAGAAGAGATGTTATTCATATAGATACGTGTTGCAATTTTTTGGGAAGGAGCTAATTATTGAACAAATTATGAAAGCGTTTTGCACAACTCATAAGAGGGGCAAAAGTTACGCAGCAATCTGTTTATGTCTCATGAAAGAGGGAAAGTGACTGGATTGCCGCTGATTCACTATGTCTAAGAATATAGGTTATAACTCTCTGTAAGATGTAGAGATATTAGTCCGGGCAGAGAGTAGATGGTAGATGCATTCCTTGTTTGTTTCGTGCTTATTTATATACATTGAAAGGATGAGAGTCATCAGGAGGAGTCTAAGAGGCAAGCAAGCCTGTTGAAACTTTGAATTCAGCAACGACCTCCACAAAATCAGAGGCCAATGGCAATGAGAATGATTTGCACCTTGAGCAAAGTTACTTCTGAATAACTCCGTACTTGATAGCATAATTCCCTTTCTTCCAAATTGGAATGCTTTGTATCAGTTTTTGAAGTTATATTATTATGGTAATAATAGATCTGAGTGATTCTGTCATACCTTTGTCTATGATATCAGGTGTAAATTTGACTTTCCTCCCTCCCTCTTTTCTTTTTGGAAAAGAAACAGTTTGAATCATGTCAGATGAAGTTGAATATCGCTGTTTCATTGGTGGCCTCTCATGGTCAACCTCAGATCGAGACCTAAAAAAAGCATTTGAAAAGTTTGGCCATCTTCTCGATGCAAAGGTAATCATTTAATTTGATTTTGAAATCGTATAGTTGGTTCACTGTTATATTCTTTTGATTTTTCCGTATAGCTTTTTTCATCTTATAATGGATGATTGGTTTCATCAGGCCCCTGTTCATCATGTTGCAAGTTTAATCTGGTTTACGAAGCTTCACTTTGAAACCTTTTGAGACTTTGTTATAGGCTTTTATCACTTTTTTTACTAGTACGGAAATCTTACTATATCCATTCACATTAATATCCATTTGTTATTTTATTTCTGGTGGTGAAAGTACGAAATTGTTTCAGACCATACTTCGATAATTTGTAGCGGTAGTAGAGCATGGCTATCTTCTCAGACCTGTCCTCTGAAAAAATGAACATAAAAAGGGCAAGTGGCAGTAAGATAGTTCAAAGTGGCTTATTGGGCCTTGTAGACAGTCCGATGAGCATTCTATTTATTCAGGCTATCTAGTCGCACATGTGTGCTTGTTTTGTTTCTCTTGTCTCTCTTCTCTTGGGCAGATGATAGGGGTGGACGTAATATTTTATTTTCTTTTTGATTCGTTGAAATTTTCTTGAGAAAATGTATTTGAATAGGCTCAATTGCTAAGATTACTGACATAGAATGGCTGTTGTGCAAGCCCCCTTCCCTACTGTTCTATAGTTATGAATTATGATTTTACGTTATGTTTGAAATTCATTTCAAGACTTCATATATGTTATAGAAAATGGACTCTTACATGCAAGTGGTTGTATGTATGTGTAGGTGGCTGTTGACAAGTTCTCTGGACGCTCTCGTGGCTTTGGATTTGTCTCCTTCGATGAAAAGAATGCAATGGAAGAGGCCATTGAAGCTATGAATGGGATTGATTTAGATGGCCGAACAATTACTGTTGATAAAGCAAGGCCGAACCAGGGCTCAGGTAGAGATTATGACAATGATCGCTCACGTGACCGCGACCGAGGTCATGGTCGTGGTCGTGATCGTGAGTATGGAAGCGGGAGGGGATCTGGTGGTGAAGGATGCTTTAAGTGTGGCAAACCTGGACACTTTGCTAGAGAATGCCCTGATGAAGGGGGTAAAGGCAGTAGGTATGGGAGCAGGGATGATAGGTATGGTGGCAGAGGTGGTCCTGACCGTAATGGAGATCGATTTGGAGGCCGTAACAGGGATGCTGGTGGCCGTGGGGGAGGTGATCGATATAATCGTGATCGCTCTGGGCCTTACGATCGCCGAGGATCTGGGGATTTCTGATGTGGGTAGTTTGATGTTTGACTATATGGTATGCTACAAGACACTGACAATTTTTTAATTCCAATCTTCAGTCTATTGTTTAACTGATGGCTTTGCATTCATATTCGTGACAGCTGAAGACTTTGAAGTCCTGGTGCTCCTGGATGCAAGTATTATGTGGTTTCTCTCTTGTTGGCATGTTGCCTAAATGGATCATTGTTGAAAGTGTGAAACTCGGCACTAATAGTTTACATATATCGTGTCACTAAAATGTTCTATGTTTTGGTCCTTTGGGGTTCTTTGCTTGCTTGATGTGCAGATTCGAATCTGATCTTCACTTTTGAATGCTATTATTCCAACTGGTTGTCTCCTTTCTTCCTTACACTACAATTAACTGCTTCTGGATTCGTATATTCTCGCATTGGTCCTGTTCCTCTCATGTGTATGAGGAATAATGTTGAGAACTTGGAATTGGTGATAGTAAGACGTGGCCCCGCCATCTCGTGAGATGATGGAATTGACAAATAGACTCTTCCTTAGAAGCCAGCCTGCTTATATGCTCCTCTAAACTCGGTTTTTAATGATTAAACTGGAGTTGACAGGGTAATTGTTTATTTTCTACATTTGAACCTTACCTAAAACTTCAACTCAGTTCTTAATTTTCAATTCTTGCAGTATTAATAATGTTAAACTTTTGGCAGGCTACCTGGCTAATAATTATCAGATACTTGATGGTTGGCTTGCTTTTGCTATTGGGCTACATTTAAGCGTTATTAAATTGAAAAAAGCTTTTTGAATTGCGGCAAACCCTGTGCAGTTCCTTTATAGCTTTTGTTTTCTACAAAAGTATACCGAAGGAAGAGTTTCATTCCTGTTATAATATGCATCATCTATAGATAATTGTCAAGATTTCAGCAACTGTTATCTCCTGTTGGTTGAGATCTGGATTCACTGATTATGTTCGTTTCAATAACCGTAAAGGATGGTTTTGCCTTCAAAATTTCTGTTGGAGACTGCTGCTCACTGAATTCTGAACTGCCCTGGATGAACAAATTCATTCTTGGTCTGATCCTAGTTTTCTCTTTGTGCATCTGTTGGTTTCCCCTTATTTTTCTTTGTTTTTTCTTGGGGGAAAGTTTCTCCTCTCTTTGTTGTTCCTGCTTCTACATGGAAAAGCTATTTTGATTTATGCTGTCTGCAGCTAGCTTGCATTTTCACTTCTATACTGAAGGTTTGATTTTACACGATAAATGTTTTTTGTCATCGTTAAGACTTAGTTGCTTTGATCATCCAGCTCTGAATCGATAAAAATCAAATTTTTAAAAAGGTCTCAAGTCAGTCGTATTCTGAGAGCATATTATTACCCTGCTTACCAATTGAAGCTCATGAAGTGTTGTTCTTTTGTGGGCATTAGATGTCAGGTTTGATGTAGTGTTCTTCATTATCCTGCCATAGTTGAATTACTGAGGAACTTGCTCTATTCTGCATCCCACTTCTTTTCTGGTGTAGATTTGTAATGTTGTACATTTATACTAACATTGCACTGTAGAATAATAACATTGGTTAGGTCGACTTCTTGTTTTGCTTCAATTTTTATCGCTGTCTACAAGCATTTGAGTGAATATGTTAAAACAAGTTGTCGATGTGTAAAGATTATCTAATTATTCATTGTACCAAAATTGTCAACAACAAATCAAAGTGTTTAGCAAATCGAAATCATTTGTAGAACATGTATTTCAAACGACTAAAAAGATCAACGTTGAAGAACAAAATGAGAGATCGCATTAAGGTTTCATCCCTAGCTCTAATGGTTTAGAAATACATAATGAAAATAAAACGAAGAGAAAATGAAGGAAATTAGAATATGATGAATAAAAATTAATGTTTTCTATTGCTTGGCCAAGATCCCCCTTCGTAGGCAAAGAAACATCCAATATGCAAGTAGACAATTGGAACTTGCATTCTATCAAACTTGAAGACAACAACTTGATACCACTTTTCTGCTATGATATGCAGCGAATTTGGACTTCTGATCAAAAAATGAATTGTTTCCACTTGATTTATCTTTCCATTGGTAAATATCAGGTCCTTTAAATGTCTATAATCTCAGATATGGTCAAAAGACTAAGTGCTGCTCATTGGTAAAAAAGTTGTACACAAGTGATAACTGAGATTTTGAAAGGTAATTTCAGTTGACCATGTATTTATACATATTGGATTTATGGCAAGAGTTGATATTCTATCACACTTCCTTTAAAAGAGAGGATGCTAAATTTACTATTCATACCGTGCCCTCTTTTTCACACTTGAACCGGTTCTTTTAAAGTAGACAAATCACCTTTATATTCCTACTATATCCCCTTCCACTTAAAAGAGTGCATGTGAGATCACTGTTCATTTTTTAGCTCTCATGTTCACACTGTTCACCTTTA